GCTGGGGAAAACAGTTCTCCACTTCTGGTTCAGCTGTTCTCTTTAAACAAGAGATGCTCCCAATTTCTAGCAACGTTGAAACCAAAGAAGTATACGCTGGGGCAACAAAGCCAGTGTAACCTGCTTTGAAGGCCTTAAGCTTTACAAAGGCCAGACATCGTATACAGCAGGGGTCAGCAGACACAAGAATGGGTCGGCCCAGGGCTGCTTTGTAGACAGAGCTTTACTAGAACACACCCATACCCTCGCTCATGTGTTGCTGCTTTGGCGCTACAACCCTGGAGTTGAGTAATTGCAACTGAAACTGTCTGACCCACAAATCCTAAAATATTTACTATCTGGCTCTTTACAGAAAATGCCTGCCAGCGCCTGGGCCACACATATTGATTGGTTCATTCTCCCAGCTGGAAACAAGTGGCGATGGGATCAGCTGTGGGGTAAAAAGGCCTTCACTAAACGCACTGCGGGGGAAGCTGGCTGGTCCCACCCCAGGAGGCCATGGGGGCGGCAACTCTCCCCACATCAAACGCAGGAAGCAGACGCCAGCCCTGCTCGTGGTTTAGGAGGCGTGGAGCACCTGCAGCAGAGCACATGGTCTCACTTCGAGCATCCAGCCCGCAGGTGAGCAGTGGAGTCTCGCACAGGACAGTGAAGAACCCGCCTGCGGTGAGCAGCGTTCCAGGCACAGGCTTCTAGCGTCACCCAGCGAGTGACCCACGGGCCACGCTCGAGGCCTCAGGGTGGATGGGCCCCAGGAAGGTTGGCCGGTTGGTGACTGACTTTCCAAGATTCTCCCAACTCTCAGGAGTCAGTAGAAAACCCTGGATGAACTATGTCCAGAAGCACAGGTTTTCCAATACAACGTCATTTCAGAGTCAGAAGAATCAAGAATGTGATTTGTCCAGAAGACTAGCAGAAAAGCCTCCATCTTCCTTCTCTCCTGCGACAAGTGGTGCTGCATCTGGAATGTACCTCACTGCCCTCCATGCCCAGGGGTGACATGGCGGATGTCAGCTCCCGGGCCGGCTTCCTGCCATCAGCCGGTGAGTGCCCAGAGGACGTGAAAGCATCGCTCCCACCAGCAAACAGCTGTGTCGAGCACAGGCAACACGGTGTTTGCCTCAGGCAATCCCTCAGTATCTCCAAGTCTCCGGGTTTTTACGTCTGCAGAATAAATGGCTTTGATGCAGGACCTCCGTGGCTCCTTTCAACATGGTTATCCTAGTTCTGTAATTATATCTGTGTTGCTCACTGCCTTACTCATAACACAGAAATGGCATGCATCAACAAGTCCTTACTTCACTTCCTGATATCCTTCTCCACCTACTCTCTCATCACAAAATCCGTGTGACAAATTAGGCAAGATTCCAGAATCAAATGTGTGGCTCTTGAAGCCAGGCTCAGTGGAAACTGTCTGCCTGGATGTGGTGGGCAGACAAAAGGAAGTCTTCTAATACCGTGCCTTTCACCATGAAAAAGACTTTCCTTCTGGAGGCTCAATTCTCAGGTGTGGGTTCAGAACCTCAGCAGGGGCCTTGGGAAATGCTGGGAAGGCCGATACCAGCAGCTCTTGGAGGAGCCACTCACCAGTGATTGCAAAAACAAAGTGTGTGTGTGTAGGCACATCCTCTGTCCGAAATGTATGGTCAGCAAACAGCATGCAGGTTTGGTGACCCCGTTCTGCTCTCACAGATAAAAAGGAAAGAAGTGAGGTAGAAACAGTGAACTTGGGGGGTCTGGATCTCATGAACACGAAGTTGTGGGGACACTCCTTGAATCTGGGGCGTTTGCCCAATTCACTGGACCCAGATGAACCAGATGTGAGCGGAGCCCTGGGCTCCAGGTGGCCCGGAGGGAAGGGGATGGCCCTACAGCTGGGAGGGGACAAGAGCCTCCCTGAACGCAAGCCTTTCTACCCAGACCAAGTCTGCGGCTACAGGTCGCCAACGGGGCCTGCACTACTGTCCTCCTACCTTCAAGATAAAACGACTTCTTCTGATGGAACCCAACTCAGTTGGATTCATGACCCAAGATGGGCATCAGGGGAGCTGCTCTCAAGAATGAATGCAGCTCTGGCCAGTTTTGCTCAGTGGCTAGAGCGTCGGCCTATGGACTGAAGAGTCCCAGGTTCAATTCCGGTCAAGGGCATATGCCTGGGTTTCGGGCTTGGTCACCAGGGGGAGGTGTGCAGGAGGCAGCCGATCAATGATTCTCTCTCATCATTGATGTTTCTATCTCTGTCTCCCTCTCCCTTCCTCTCTGGAATAAATAAAAATATATTAAAAAGAAAAAGAACGAATACAAAATTTTGCACATATGTAAGTATGTACGTTTTTTTTCTGGCGAGAAGGCTCATTGCTTTCATTTTTCAAAGAGGGCCATAGATAGAGAATGTGATTTTTTAAAATCCAATATATTACCCTTTTAAATTATGCCTCTACTTAATTATCCAACAGGTATCTAAGGAATTTAAATTTCAAGTATCCCCCTCCCCAAATTAAGAAAGGTCGAGAGTTGACAGTGAAGTTTGAGAATGCGGCATGCCTGCTAATGCTTTCACTCTCTCCCGAAAACTCAGAAAGAAGAGATTACGTTATGACTGATTACAGCTGACCTGAGGTAGAGCCATTCGAATGATCGCAGCTGAAATCAGTTCAGCCGCTGTCAGTAACGGAAGAGGCGATGGAGATCCCGACAGAATACGAGACCAGCAGTCTAGTCCTAGCGCCCCGCCTTAACCTGTGACCTTGGGAGTCCCCCTCCTTCTGTGCTCGGGCCTATCAAATGCAGGCCACCGAAGCAGAACGGTGGTTCGCAAACTCTTTGCAGGCAATGAACATTATGTGTATCTAAAACCACCTAGAATTCATCCGAAGCTGAAACAAATTCAAAGTGGCAGGCTGAACATACGCATGTACATCCACTTCTGGAAACCCGAATCCGGGAATCCTATCAGGGACCCTTCAGTCCGCAGGCCAACGCAGGTCACATGATTGTTTTAAGCGTATTATTAACTAATGGAAACCTTAACACTTTATAACAATAATTTTATTGATTGATTTTAGAGAGAGACAGGAAGGGAGAGGAAGAGAGGGAGAGAGAAACATCGATTTTTTTGTTCTACTCATTGATGCACTTATTGGCTGATTCTTGTATGTGTCCTGACCGGGTACTGAACCCGCAGCCTTTGGTGTATTGGGACGACGCTCCCGGCCATGGCAAAACCTGAACACTTTTACCAGGAGGTGCTGGTGCCCATTTCACAGACGAAGGAACTGAGTCACCAGCGTGGAAGGCACGTGCCCAAGTCCCCACGGCCAGTGAGTGGCCGAGCCAGGGTGCAGGCCCAGGCAGTCAGGCCGAGTCTGTGCCGTGCACACCCCCACCCCCAGACCCACAACCAAGGAACCTCGAAGCTCCCAGAGACAGAGATCAGTTCAAATGTCACCCTATTTTGGGAGATGGAAAGCGGGCCAATGAGGAGTAATGACTTGGGTGGAGTCTACCGAGTGCTGTCCCCCTCGCAGACCCCGCCCCACACTCCACTGCTGGAGACACAGGTGAGCATTAAGGAAGCCTGAAGACAGGCAGGCGGGCAGGAGCCCACAACCGGGCACATGCCCGTGACTGGAATCGAACGGGGACCCTCTGGTCCCCAGGCCGACGCTGCATCCACTGAGCCACAGGCCAGGGCCGTTCTCGGCCTTTCGTGTCTGGGTCGGCTGGCCCCGGGCAGACCAGACATTTCTGTTCTGTAACATTTACAGCGATGAGAAGCGCAGGCCAGGCATCGGGCAAATACCAGACGCGCTCCGTAATCCTCAGGCCCAGGCTGAGAACGAGGATCACCTGTTTTCTGCTGTTAAACTGGTGCTTAGAAAACGGAACCTGCCCCACTAGGTCGCCACTGGGATGGTCGCCACGGTCCCTCCCGCACCCGGGGCCACTCTCAGCCTTTCCGCTCTGCTGTCTGCAGAGACCTGCCTCCAACAGGAAGAAGGAGAAGTTCCCTGAAGCCGTAAAAATAAGAGCAAAGAAGGAGCTCCGTGTGGCTTATCGTCCACAGGAGCCGAGGCTGCCCGGCCAGAGCCCGGC